GATAGTTCAAGTTTGATGTTTGACTACTTTGTCAAAAAAAATCCCAAATGCTAAATTTACCTTATTTATTGCATATTTTGTTCACTTAGATAGAAAACGAGTAAAAGATTTTTTTAATTCTTAGTCAAAGGATTAAATGCCATTCAGTTGTATTCTTTTGGAACTTTCTGCAACATTCTTTAGTTTTTAATTTCATTTGGTATGTTGGAAGAATTTTTATGCAAGTGAATTTTAAGCTTTTAAGGGCTAAAAGTGCATTATTTTAAAAGCCTCTCAAGGTACTTTAGAAGCATAATCTAATAATTATACAAAAAAATTCAGTAAACTAAAAATAGTTTTTTTTCAGGCAAGTGATGTTACAAGTTGGTTGTTACCAATGCTGAAGCCTGCCAGTGTTTTCTAGATATGACTGTAGAAGATTCTAGAAATAAAAACTCCTTTTTAAAAAATTCTGTATTGGTCAGTAATTTTCATGACATCTTGTATGAAAATGCACGTCACGTATCTACTAACATCAGAAAATTTCTTCTAAAATGATATTTTGTTTTAGTTTTATACAAATGCGAACATTTCTTTCTTCAGTTTATGTATGACTCCTAAACATGGTCTCCAGTTTTAAAATGAAATATCTCAATTTTTGTCATATGGGAGTCATTCCTTTTTTGTATTTTGTTTTTTATGATAAATGCATATAAAATTTTCCTAAACATAAATATAGAGACCTTTAAAATGTATAAATAGTTAGATTTGATAATTTTTATAAAATTGATTTTTTAATTTTAAAATGTGAAAACATGAATATTAGCATCATTTAAATTATTTTTTAATTGGAAATATATGTGTATGATTAACAATTATGAAAAGAGGCTGAATGCGGACCTTACGCTGTACAAAATGTAATGTATATGAATTAAAGATTCAATGCAAATATATTGTTTATTAAATTATAAAACCAAAATAGGGTGCAATTATATCTCAGATTTTGTGGTCTGCTGGCAGCTAAAGTTTTAGCTGATCCCATACATGTTCAATCAAATTTGTATCGAAGAAGTAAAGTCTTAGGCCTTATGATGCCTATACCTTATAAGGTACACTGCTCGACATTGAAAATGCAACACCAAGAAGGAGTGGTTAGAAAGTGATGAAATTTGGGACAGAGACAGCAAGCAGCAATAACTGATCTTTATTTCAAAATGATAGTCGGAATACAGAGCAAGAACGGCGTCGGCTCAGTAGGATGTAGGACACCGCGGACAGCGATGCACGAAGAAACACGTCTAGGCATAGAGTCAATAAGAGTGCAGGTGGTGTCCTGAGAGATGGTTCTCCATTCCCTTTCAACCATTTGCCACAGTTCGTCTTCTGAACGAGGCAGGGTCAGAGTGTGCAAACGGCGTCCAATCACATTGCATACATGTTCGATTGGTGACAGGTCAGGAGAGTACGGTGGCCAGGGAAGCAGAGCATGTTGGCAGATGCGAGCACTGTGTGGTCTCCCATTATCCTGCTGAAAAAATTGCATTAGGCAGCCCCTGAAGGTAGGAAATTACCACCGGCCGCAGTACATCATTCAAGTATCGTTGGGCTGTCATAGTGCCCTGAATACGAACTAGAGGTGACCTGGAATCGTAGGCAATAGCGACCCAAACCATTATGCCATGTTGTCGCGCGGTGGGTCATTCTACAGTTACTGCCGGATTAGATCTGTCTCCATGTCGACGCCACTTTCAACCAATCGACGGGAAATTATTCTGGTCTACACAGAGACATCCAGCATATCTTGCACATGCTGCAGAATCGCGATACAAGTGACTTGCGGGACCGCCACAGCTTGTCGGCGGATGCGTCGCTCCATGCGTGCTGACGTCACTCTGGCTGCACCTGCACCCCTCCTTCTTCCCACATTTCCTTGTTCCAACCATGTTCGCCATAGCCGATGCACCGTGCTCGCATCCATGTGGGTATCAGCTGCGATTTGACGCAACTTGCCCTTCTCAATCCAATCACCATACTCCTTGTAAAATCATATATCTGCTGGAAGTGCCTTCGTTGACGGCGACCTGGCATTCTATTCTATTACACGTATCCTCCGGGATAAAAACCAATTTTCTTTGATAATTCTTCTGGCAGAAATAACAACACGAATATTGCCTATTCTGCACGTCCCTTCCCTTATATCTTACTTCACATGTGTCGGAGAACTGCGCATTTCACATCATTCACATAACTCAGTGATGTGCATCTACTCTAAAATTTACATAAATTTCTGACCACTCCTTCTTGGTGTTGCATTTTTAATGTCGAGCAGTGTATTTTCTTTTTCCTTACCATGTGCCTTCATGGTGTAATTAGAAAGCACAACCGGCTGGTAATTGGCAGGCATTGCACATTTTTTATGTTTTGTGCTTTGACAAACCTGGTAATTCTACAACTGCTGCCCGAACTAAAACTGGGTAGATGAAATTCATCACCACATGGATTTAGCAACTGAGTCCCCTCCTCTTCTGTCAGTCATTAAATGGGAGAGAATACTCCCTTCGTACCATATGCCTTCATAGTGTAAAATTGAGAAGCCTTTTAGAAGGTCTAGAGTTTGAGTGAGGGCACTGCACATTTCTTGTTTCCTGTTTTAACAACGTCATGAGCAACATTACCTTTCCGAAATATTGCAAGCCCATCAGCGGCTGAGCGGTAAAGTCGCTGAACACTGGTAGTTCGGTCCGAGGTTCGAATCTCGCCTCGTGAACGGGCTGGCTGCATGGGTGTTTTCGTGGTTTTCCTCATGTGTAACGTGTATACAAGCCAGTTTCCCTTAGAAAGTCCTCCACAAAGGCATCCGTCCTCTTAGGCAGATAGCCCCTAGTGTGCTTTGCCATAATTAAATACACCACTATACCGAAATATTGCATCTGAAATCCCAGCTGGAAAAGGGAGCACATGAAGCCATAGCTATTAAACTGTGAGAATAGATCAGCTGTCACAGGCATTCCATATTATAATGCCTACATTGGGGAAAGTGTGTTACTTAATAGTGGCATTGGAAATTGTGATCAGCTGTTCCCAAAACAAAGCTGCAAGTGTTGTTAAAGATACGATCAATTAATATTACCGGCTCCACAGTCCAATTAAGTCCGTACTACCAGGTCTGAACCCCTTGATGCCTCCGCATTTGGCGAGAGGTGGTCATCAGATAGAAAGTGCCCACAGAGAGCTAAAAGAACCTCAGCTACACCACCACCTTGTCCTGCACCCATGGGCAATGGATCAAAATGTACTCTCATTCCTCATGTCTGAATGGGTCGACAGGGGTCACCACTCCCCGCGAACCGAGACCACCATGAGGTGTGGTCTTCCACGCCCGCTACCGATACCACCTGCCCAGTGGCTGATAGCCTTTCTCCCCCTCAGTCCAACCATACAGACAGTCTTCCCTCGGGGCTCTGGAACCACCAAGCTCAAAATGCTTTTTCCCCAGAGTATTCTGTCAGGATATAGAATCCAGCCAGTTGCAGCCATCCCAGGGGGTTTGCTAAAGATACATGTGTTAAGTCTAGACCGCTGATACTACTGTGCACTGACATCACCCTGATGGAGTCTGTAATATTCCTGTATTAAAAACAGCTCACAAAAGAGAAGGAAAACGACTGATTTGCTTTTCCCGGCTGTCTGAAGAGGGTTCATTCGCACACAAGACCTGCTGCATGTGCCTATGTGATAACAGGCTAACTATGAAATTTGTGCATGCCCGATGCTTGATCCTTTGATCTTCTCTGCTGATGATTTTTTTTTTTTTAATCTGGGGCTCATCTACCATGTATTGGTATCATTGCTTGTAAACTGCTTCCAACACCATGAGATGTTATGGTCAGAACTACCATTCGGACCTTACCATCTTATGGCCAATGCATGATATACTACAGACCGCATTATACACTGACGAATCTGTGGTCAATGATAAAGCCTCTCTTGAAGTTCTTTAGTGGAGTAAATCAATGTCTCTAGCATTATTGTTATTCCATATTTTTGTTGCCATTGGCCGTTGCTTTCTGCATTCATAGGATGTCAACTACATACCAATTTATAAGGCTGTAGTGTAAGCTTACATCATCAGTGCAGGTTTGAAGGTCATGTAAAGCTTTCCAAAGCTTGAATCAGTAGCCTATTTACTCACACCCTAGTGATTTACTTAATTTCATTGTTGCAGCATGCTTTCTTTTTATACAAATTTCACTGCTCGTGGCTGTTTTAGAAATGTGATATTTAGCAGCAGTTATTTCATTATTCATTTTAAATTAATCTGTTCACGTTAGATGAAGGCTTTTTAAAATATATTCTAATAACATTGTAAGGTACTTCTCCCGCCTTCCTAGCGTGCATTTGTAGTGTAGTAGTTCTGCACGCTGGGACGGTATTCCAAAGGTCTGCAGTTCGATTCCCAGCGAAGGTGTTTGCTAATTTTTCATCTCTCCGGCTTTTCCAAAAAATACCTAATGTCTCTACAGTGGCACCCAACTAAAAGTGTTGTGGATGATGATTCTTAACACCCAGGATTTGGCGATTGGGGTCCCCTAAAAACCCCAGTCGCCCTTTAAAAAGGGGTATTATGTAAGGTATTTCTCCCACCTTCCTAGCTTGCCTTCATGGTGTAGTGGTTCTGCACTCTGGGCCGGTATTCCAAAGGTCTGTGGTTCAATTCCTGGCGAAGGCGTTTGCTAATTTTTTTATCTCTCTTGCCTCAAAAAAATCCTTATGTCTCTACAACATGTTATTGAATTTATCAGTATGAATCAAAATATACAAGTTTACATTTAGATGTGATGTTTTTAATAAACTGAAATATCCAAATTATTTACTAAATCGTAAAGCATTGTTTAAAGCATGGATCTTTGTAAATTATCATTTTGAAGTTTTGTTAAAAAGTTTTGATTCTGTATATTTGTGATTTATGTATCTAACTGTCTATGTGGTAATATATATATATATATTTTTCTTTTTTTAAGTGATGTCTGAGTTGTTGTTTGAATGCTACAATGTACCACAAGTGGCTTATGGCATTGATTCCCTCTTCAGTTTTTATTATTATAATACCAAGCCAAAAGGTTAGTTTATTTATATTATTCTGTTAATTTATTTGCATTATGCTTGTTAAAACTGTGCTGTAGTATTACAGTAGAACTCCAATTGTTTCTATTGTTTGTTCTTGTAAGCTAGCTTCTAAAAATACGTATATTTTGAACTTAGTGTAATATTTAAAATTATTTCTCTGTTTGAAATACAGTGGAACCTTGATTAATACTATCATTATGATGATAAGAGAATAGACGGATCATTGAAACTCCTCCCCTTCCCCCACCACCATCAGATGTGGATTGTTGATAGTGAAGATCTGTTTTTAGTATAGTACATTATCTGGTATGGATAAAAATCAAAAAAGAGTTGAAAATAGATCACATTGCAACTGCATAGTTCACTTACTATTATGTACAGTAAATTTACAATATGTAAATCGAGGTTTCTAGCAAAAATGCAATAAATATCAAACACCTTTAATTTTTGCATCTGTAACATCTTTAATTAGTACATTTTTCATCTTAATTTAAAATAAAAAATATGGTACTGTATTTTTTATCTATTGAAATTGCCAAAAGGCTCAGTATAGTACTCAGTCCTGTGTTCTAGTTTACCATGTCTACAAAGTTCTAATGCAGCCTTTATTTTTGCTACAATTGGTTATAAGCATATACTTCCAGTTATAAAAATGTTCAAGTTTTGATCTAATTTTTTTGGAAATCTATGTTAGTAACCAACAATTGTGAAAATAAAGACTGCGTGAGGACTTTTATAAACATATAGTATGACAAGATAATTCCTCGTTATTTCAGATTTTCATAATTAAAAAACACATTTCAAGTAAAGCATTACACTGCATCTTGGATCGCAAACAAATTATTGAAACAAAAAATGTCTTGAATGCTTAATGTTGTTTTGTTGCGAAAGGTCAAGTTGGCAGTTAATGATTTTTCTAAGATGCTCTTTTACAGAATTAACACTCAAGGACCACTGGAAATATCATTTTAATATTTTTACATTCCTTAATTCTCATTGGTAACATTTGGCAGCATGACCATGAATTTGCCCTGTATGTAGTTATAGTCAGATTGTATTCCAGACTAAGACTGAAATTTAGAACAAATTTTGTTATTTATGATATTAGATCTCTAGACAAAATAATAGATTAGGAAGTTACCAGTGAGGATGTGGAGAAGTTACTGCAGAACTATAAAAGTGCACTTCGTAAGAAAGAATTGCAATAACTTCAGAAGCAGGAACAAAAATCATTTGTGTAGGAAATGTATTCAGAGGAAAGAGTGTTCTTAGTTATTTGATCCATGAAATTTTTGCAAAATGAAGTAAAATGTGAAGTTTTTACATAATGATATCATCTTCATAAAGCAGTAACAAGTTGCAGTATAAACATTTTCAATAAAAATGAGATATCTTGCTTTAGGAGCATTTTTAACACGTAAATCATGTTGAACAAATTTTGTGTCAAACAGAGGCCCATTGAGTCTCAAGCAGCATCTAGTGGCACTAAGAACCAAAGAAAAGGTATTTTGTCTTTCCCCATCTGTAATAATGCTGTAATATTAATTTTAATTAACCTATGTTAAGTTTTTAAATAAATTTAAAAAAGACAATCAGTCTTAGTTTTTCCATCATGAAAGCTTGGTGATATTACAGTATACATCATGTAGGTTAGTCTGTGGTATTTGAGAAATTTGTTATAAAATATTTCTCCCACCTTCTTGGTGTGATGGTCTGCACACTGAGCGCATATTCCAGAGGTCCGCAGTTCGATTCCCTGCGAAGCGGTTGCATATTTTTCATCTTCCCTGCTTCCAATTAACCTAATGTCTCTACAATGTAGCCATAGAACATAATAGAAAATCAATTGCATATTATAATTGGCTGAATAGTGCATATTAAAAGCAAAATAAACTAAGAGTATTTAATGTTTGCAAATAGTGTAAATAAAAATAAATTTAATTTTTTTTTATTTTAGTTGAAATTGAAATAAATTATATATTTTTGTAAATTAAAAATAATTTGATTTCTAATTAAATTTTCCGTTAAAAATATTTTTATATTGTCTTACAGAAATAAAATAATTTCTTATTTGCATAAATTTTGTTGGAAATAAACTGAAATTTAAAAATTGCTTACTTAACACTATAAGAAGTACATATTTGGTTTCAAGAGTAAGATGACCAAGTCCCAGTGGTGCTGATACTGAGTCATAGAATGTTGATGAAATTTTAAAGGGGATCAGTGACGATCAAGGAGTCTCTTGAAAGTTGATAGCCAAATATTCTCTGCAGATTGATTGGCATAATCAAGACCTCATTGATTACAAAAAAATTTATTAATATGATTGATAATTAATTGTGTAAAACTGTATAACATAGTAAGAAAAGAAATCATAAAATAAATATAAGGGGAAAGTACACTAAAATTATTTAATATAATTTTAAAATATGTAAATATTTTCTGCAATTAGTGCAATGGAGTGTAATGCAAAAACACAGGAAAACAAACAAAAAAGTACGGAGAATGCAAAACTGGAATATAAAACAAGAAACAGGTTGAATAATTTGAATGAAGTGATTTAAAAATTAAATCAAGCAATTTTCTGCCAAATATTAAGAAAAATTGCATAAATACATCAAGTGCAACCATCACAGTAATGAAAAGTGAATTTTAATGAAATTTCGAGCTGTGGTTTTATTTCTGAAAAACTCTTTATATTTGTAAAATTAAACATAAATCTAATAAACCACTTTTTCAAATCTTTTGTTCATATTCTTAAAATAATTGTTATCTTTGCTATTTATTGACAATTTTTTGTATTATGATAATGTTGTATAATGTATATCATAGAGAAAAATGTGAGGGGGCTGATGAAGAAATCTGTTCCTATAAAAAGAGTTAATGCAAGAAAATGTTTGGAAATCCCTGATCTAAATGGTCTGTGGTCTCAGTTAGATTGGAGTTCTACTGTAATTTCTTGCTGTATTATTTCCAGTTTTTTCCATATTTAAGTATCATTTTTAAAAATTTTGCATTGTTTTAGATATTTTTCTAGTATTTTATAGGCATTGGTTTAAGAAACAATTTGAAGTTTTGAAAAATGTTATATACTATAGAGTGACCTTGGGCCCATCAAAATATTTAATTAATGTTAAAAATAAATTTGGGATAACTGTATTTTGATATGTGATATGTGTTGAAAGTTCCTTGGAGAGTTTTAAATTAGAAATACTTTGTACATTCTCTCCAGGAAAAGCATATGAACTAGTTTCTATAATGTTGTAATGAGCAATAATCTTTTTTAACTCACTTCTGTTTACTTATTATGAGCAGCTTTATTTCTTCTGTAGTCTTTGATCTCGTAGTGCTTTGTAAGTGCGGAAAGAGCCCATTATTAAATTCTGCTTTAAAGGAGAAATATACTGTATATATATAACATAAATTAATTAACATAAATCTATGTGGCTCCAAAATTTTACATTAATTATCTGAATCCTTTTCTATGTAATTAAGAATTAAAAAAATCTTTCATCTAATGGAATTAAAAAATGAGAAATAGTTATCTAAAAAAATCTTATTTCTACAAAACAATTAATTTTACTCTAGTTTGCGGCAAAATACTTCACCAAATCAGTAAGTTACTTTTGCCATATATTTACATCTTTTAAATAAAAAAAAAATACTTTAAATATAATAATTACAATAATGTTTTATAACAAAAGTAAAAGTTTTTAAACTTTTACTAAAATCTTAATTCAAAAAGGGGAAATATAAATGAATATAATAATTTTATTTTCAGGTCTTTTTGGTCTTGTTGTATCTTTAGGCTACAGTGCATCTCACATTCTGCCAGTTGTACGTTCAAGATTCGATGTTCGAAATGCAAAACGAATAAATGTTGGTTCTCAGCATATGATAAATTTGCTTCAGCGCATTCTTCAACTGAAATATCCTGCCCATGCATCTGTCATAACTCCTAGTCGTGCTGAGGTAACTAGTTTTGAAATAAATTCATATAAATGTATTCTTTTAAATTATTAAGCAAGATAAGTTCTTCACAAAAGCCTCAATAATTGCACTAGCAAATCTGATGATCTCATAGTGTGCACCATGGCTCTGTTCTTCGCAAGAACAATTTTTGAACAAGTTGGGGCTGTTTACAGTATGCACTATAAGAGTACTCATTTTTGAAACTTATAAATCCAGCTCATTTTACCTCTGTTTCTCTTTATTTTATCACAATTCTCAGTAACTGGACTAGTATACATAAATATGTCATAGTATGTATTGGGGCTCAGCTTCCGAGAGGAACAAATTTCCAGTAAAATATGTCTGTTTATTGTAATATGTTTATAGTTTGTAAATTTCAAGTTATTAGTTCTGAAATTTGTAAACCATAAGAATATTGTTTAAAAATATATTAATTACTTTTTATCCCCCATATTGTAGTGTCTAATGCATGAACACATGCATTTTAGCCAGAGCTATATGGAGGACGTTCGAAAATGGGAAGATGAAAATTATTCAAAGAAAAACACACATATTGTTCAACTGCCATATGTCCCTGTAAGTAAAATAATTTATCACCCCTAACTTATATAGTGTTAGTCTAAAATAGACGTATTAAATGTTTATAAATTGAAAACTGCTTGTTTTTATCATGAAACATTTAGTAGAGTTTAATAGACAAAGTCATCAAGTTTATGATCTCCTTTCATTTGTTTTCATGGCATCAGCATTGCATGAATGATTTGAGGTCATCTGAGCATTATAGCCGCTAATCAGACAGGAAAAACTTGTTATGTATTCAATTATGAAAAAACATATTTTGTTACTATTATATAGCTTTGTTTTAAAGCATAGTATAAATCAGTGTTTCTTAAAATATGAATCATGACCTCAAATTGGGCCACCTAGCAAATTGGTGGGATCATGAAAATTTTATTCAAATACATAAATTAAAAAAAAATTAGTCTTATTCATTATCTTTAATTTATGTAATACATTTCTTTACTGTAATAAATTACATTTTCTGTATGGCACTATTATAAAATCATAATATGGGCCAATAAAATATACAAGTTGAGCTTCAAAATTATATATACATGTTAAAAAGTACCACTAGTACTTCATAATAGCAGTCTCCCATTGTGATATCAGCACATAGAATATTTCAGAATTGAAACATGCCACAAACACATAGGATGTTACAGTATGTAACATCCTATTGTGCCCTATTGTATCCTTTATTAAATTGCATTTGCTGTAGTTGAAATATGGTTAATGAAGTGTTCTTTTTAGTTGTAAATATGGCTTCTGCCAAACAAAATAAACACTGTGCTGCTTTCAAATACAGTCATTCAATTTGTGATAGAAAACTGAGATCTTGCTACTGCAAGAATGTTTGATGTTGATGAAAGCACCATATATGAGTAGTGGAAGAAAAATGAAATTACAATAATTAATATGCCAAAAAATAAATGAGTTTTGCTTAAAGAAGTAACAAAATGGCCTATCCTAGGCAAAAATGTTGCAAGCTGGGTCTTAGAAAATCGCCAGAATGGATTAATTGTAACAAGCAACGTGTGTTTATTTGCCTTAAAGCGGAAAAAAACAAATACAAATGAAAGTGAAACTTTAAAGCAATTTTGAGTTGGTTTAGTTATTTTATCACATGGAAAAATTTAGTTCTATGAGAAAAAACAAAAGTTTTACAAAGGCTTCTGAAAGATTTGGACAACAGCTTGATTAGTTTCCAGAAGTATGTTATTTACTTATGAAGACAATATATATATATATTAACTGTCCCATATTGGAAATATGGATGGATTGGATTAGATTATTCAGTTATGGCAAAGCACACGAGGGCTATCTTCCTGGAAATATGGCTGAAACTCCAGTTATGTTTGATGTAATAGAAATAAAAGAATTGATGTAAAAGGGACATATATATAATTCGAATTAAACAACAGGTCACGAAAAATTTCACCTCATCGTAGTACTTTCCTGCTTAGTGAACAGAACAAAATTAAACCCATGGTTATTTTTAAAAGAAAGACAATATCAAAATGTAATTTTCCAGATGATGTTTTCATTCATGTTCACAAGAAGAATGAATGGATGAAAACAGTAATTGAATGAGTAGTGAAATTGTAAGAAATGCTTGGCAAGATTGTACTGTTGCCTGAAAGAATCCAGAAAGTCTTTTAGTTGTTATATGTTCAGATCCCATCTACTGGATAATATGAAGAAATTGTTGACAGTTTTCCCAATTAAAGTAATGCCATTAGTTCAATTAATTAAAAATGACAGTAGTAATTAATTGACAGTAGGACAGTTATTCCAGGTAAATTAATGCCATTAGTTCAGATGTGTGCATTAGTAAACCTTTCAGAGGAAATTTAAAACAACAGTGGAATATGTGACTGTTAGAAGGTGAAAATATTTACAAAAGGAGACCAAATGTACCATGACAGTCTATAAATAGTGTGTGAGTGGATAATTAAAACATGAAATGAAATTAAGCCTGGCTTAATTCAAAAGTCATTTAAAAAATATAGTATATCTGTTACCGGCAATGCATGAAATGCCGGTATTCAGTAGTATATTTGGGCTGATATTCTGTAGAATATTTAGGCATATATAAGTCTGAAACATGATAATTATTACATACTTTATCTAAGCATTCTATAGAATGACAAATGCTCTTTAGGCAAACTATAGGGAAAAAGTCATTATAAGGCTCTTAAATAAGATGTTCATTTCTAGACCATCAAGTAAGATGTTCATTCCTCAAAAACTCAAATGTTATTTTGAAAAAATAATGAAAAACTGTTATTAAAAACCTTTTTTTTTAAATACGTAAAAAGAGAAATATTTAGTGAGATGATCTTGGTACACCATAGTAAATTTGTATTCTGTCTCTGACTGGAAATCAATAAGATCTACCCAACAATGAGAATTAAATTGAGAAAAATCATAGGTTTCAGAATAATGCCCTTTTTAATACCTTTTTTGTTTTTTTCTGGTAGAGTTCACAAAGTTTATATACATTCCAATATCATGCAGTGTAACATTTTTGTATTTGGTTTAAAGTTTCTTCAACATTCTGTCAAGTCCTCTGTGTCTAACAGCCAAATGAATTTCATGAATTATGGGAAATAACTGACGTCTTCTTTAACAGGATAAACAAATTTACTTTTGTTTTGCACAAACATCACATCATAGTGATTCAACAAGTAATAGTCCCATGAATCCTTCTTAATAGTCATTTTGGCTTTTTACATTATTTATTAACTTCTGGTAAGTAATTAAGACACAATAACACGCCAAACAAATACTAATTCAGAAGTCAAACAACAAAAATCAGCGTTATATTTTCAAAATTTCACAGGACTAGTTTCGATGGTTTTACCGAACCACCATCCTCGGCTGCAAAACCACAAATGTTTGCAGCTGAGTATAGTCATTTGCGGTTTTGCAGCTGAGGATGGTGTTTCGGTAAAACCATCAAAACTAGTCCTGTGAAATTTTGAAAATATGACGCTGATTTTTGTTGTTTGACTTCTGAATTAGTTCTGGTAAGTATTGGTTATTTGAAAAAAAAAAACTGCAGATGTATTTCATACTTTGCCGGTTTGTTATTTGGCGTTATATAAAATGCCTAGATAATGTGTGAAATGCTTAATCGCTTCAGTGCCGGATTTCATACTTTTTCGGTAACATATCTAACAATCTAGATAGAGTGGAAGATGATTATTGTTTGTGGATTAGAGTAAGTGATGGTGAAGATGAAGCAGAATTCAATGATGTGCTTGAAAATATAATGGAAGACCAATATGATGAACTTTTCATGTTAATTGATAATGAAAATTTTTTTGTTCATAAAATATGTTATTTCTTCTACATGTAGAAATCTAATTTCTGTATGCTCATCTTTTCCTAATTTTTATATCCAGCATATTATGCACACTGATAAATTTTGATCTTATTCTTTGTATTAAAAGTGCACATTATACTCTGGAATATGCAGTATATTTTTTATCTATGGGTATGTAGTTGAACTTCAGCAACAAAGATAATGATGCTGATGGCAATGCTACAAAATCTTATCAAACAGAATCTACAGTCAGAAAGAGGTATCTAAGATGCAAAAAAGAAAATGTGATGAGTTAATTCTCCAATTTGTTGTTATTTTTTAATAACTGTGATGATAAGCAACTACCTCTTTAATCTGCAATGACATTTTGACTTTGGATTATAAAACCATCAAAATTAAAAATGCATTCTTGAATCCAAGCATCCTTCACATGTTTGTAAACCAAAAGAATATTTCAAATTACTGTTAAATTTCTCAAATTTAAAAAAGCAATATTTTGAGAAATTTATAACTACTAGCAAAAAATATTTACTAATCTTATACAAAATTTCACATCTGATAGCTAAAAAGTGAAAAGGCATATACCACTGGAGAAGATACTATTATCTGTTGCTATTAAAATGACAGAATTATTTCATGAAAGTAAATATGAAAAATAAAATTTGGAAAATGCTTAGGCAAATGACACTACCATCAACAGAATTTCCGAAATTACCAATGATGAAGTCCAGCAATTTATTTCTTAATGTTAGAAAAACCAAATTTTACAATTCAGTTGGAAGAACAACTGATATTTGAAAAATAGCTCAGTTGTTAGTATATGTCATATGTATTTAAAAGAAAACATCTTTGAAGAATTGTTATTGCTTTGTCCTTTCAAAGGGAAGGAAGGCATATAGCAAAATCGATGAATTTTTTTGAAGGTACAGCATGGAAATATGATGCAAAAGTGACGATGAGCAAAAATATTGGTTTTAGTCATTTGTTTGAAGATGCTAGTAAGGATCATGTAACTTTTACATGCTGCCTGATCTATTGAAAGGCTCTTGTAGTGATAGAATTGAATGGTATACAGTGGAATCTTAGATCATGAATGCCTCACTTCATGAACAGTTCGGTTATGAACAAATTATCTGAATGAAAAATGCTTCGAATGTCAAACATATCTTGAGTTGTGAATACTTGAGACATTGCTCATCATTTGGCAACATATGATTTTGAGAAGTATTCTGGGGTAACCCACGCCACATAATTAACACTTAGGAACTTCTAGAAATCTCATTTTAATATTTCCTACAAAGCATAGCATCAAGTGATGTACAGGACCATGAATTCTCCCTGGAGAAAATTATGGCCAGATTTAGTTGCAGACGGACTTTGAGCACATTCAAAGTTATAACTTTTTTGTTGTTGTTGTTATCTTTGATATGGTGTTTCTAGGCAAAACCATGGGCTAAGTAAGAAGTTAACATTGAATATGTGGAGAAGTTACTGGAAGATTGCAAAAATTAGCTTAAATGAAAGTACTACTGTAACTTCAGAAACAGTCACAAAAAGTGGTTTTTGAAGAAATGAAGGGAGGAAGGGAAGAAAAAAATTATCATAGACGGCTTTCAGGAGTGAATTAAATTTATCAACTAAGGTTTCTCTGTATTTCATGATGCTGTCAAGCTGATTTGTTAAAATCCATGCCTATGACGGCCATTTATTTTCAAATCTCTCTAAAGACATATCAAATACAAAAATTTATTGCAGAAGATGGATGCATGTCAAGAAGGTGAAGTTTGAGAAGATTATTGTTACTAAAGAAGAAGTGTTTTTAATCAAATAAAATTCTGTTCTTGTGTTCTTTTTCAAAATAACGTATGTCTGTGAAAGCTGGGCAATAGCAGATTATTTTTGTGAAACTATATGATCTAAACTTATCTTAATGAATAGGAAGAAATAGCAATATATTTACTTCAAATGATAAAATTGAATTTTTTATTAAAAAGATCAACGTGTAGGACAATAGCTAGAAAATGATTCATTAGAAATGCTTTCATCTATAGACAATTTTATAATTTAAAAAAATAAATGCAAATCTTTATCTGTAAAAATTAGTATAAATCTCTTAAAAACCCTAAAAGCACAATTTTTCAAATACTATATACTAAATTTCAATTTTAAAAAGCTATCTTGTATTCAAAAACTAATTTTGACTGACATTAATGAGTTTAATCACTTGCCATATAAAAACTAAGAGGAATTTGTTGAGCTGTCTAGAAAGAGAAAGATTCAATGGCAAGTAAATTCAATTACCATTCAGTGCCGAAAAATAATGAAGATGCATTTTACATCCAGTAGTATCAAATACAGTCAAAAGTCTTTAATCCGGAATGATCTATAATCCAGACCTCAAAGCTACAAACTTTCTGCGCATGCGTCAACGCATAATGTATTAACGCATGCACATAATACCTTTACGCATGCACGTTTAATATATAATGGAAGGTATAAGCTAAGCTAAAATTATCTAATTATCTATTTCAGTTAATGTTGCAGATTGTGTTGTTCCTTAACCTTCTAATTGAATTCGGCTTAGAATTTCCGATTCTGGAGCTACCAAAGGATCTACAAAACGAAAGCATGTTCGATGTCCATCAAACAAAAAGTGGAATTGCTGCAAAAAATGGATAAAGGCATATCCTTTGATTCTCTAACCATTCCGAAATCTGTTTATCAATTTCACACTGCTGTGCGGGGGGAGGGGGGTGGAATGACGCGGCACGCAATGAACTATAAGTTGATCTGTCAGCACTATCCTTATCTTCAGAGCAGATGTTTTTATTTTATTCGGCTTATAACTCCTTACTAAATGTAGTATTTCATCTCGATGTACTCCGTCTTTGATATGATTTAAATCAAATTCCTCATCATTATAAATATCACGAATACACATCAAATAATTTTCTGGTTGCAATTTTCTAATTTCAACTATGCATAATGTATGCTTTATGCATGTGCACATTGAGAGAAATGTTTAATAAAATAAAAAAATAAATATTAAGCTTTTTTTTTTTTTTTTTTTTTTTTTTGTAAATTTTGATGCCTTTTGGATAATAATTGCTCTTTATTTTATAAATTATGGTTTCATATTTTAATTTTATAATTTCTGCATGCCATATTACCAGATTTAAACTGATGATCTATAATCTGGAAAAACCAGTAATCCGGACTTCCCGAAGTCCCGACGAGTCCGGATTAAAGACTTTTGACTGTATTGCATTGAGATTTGATTTGTCATGCAGCAAAAAGCAAACACATTTGTCTTATAAAAAATGTATTCCAAACTACTACTTTTCATATGTATATTGTTTACCAAAGAAAAGTTACTTATGGGGAAGCATTTACTTTTATATCTTTATTTAATATCTGGGGTTGCCAAAAAATCTCTAAAAAAGGGTTCCCTTGAACATCCTTAACTTGAATATCTCTGTTATTTTAGTTGTCCAAACTTTTCTATAAGCCAATGCAAAAACTGTCTGCAATAAGCAGATCTGTCCCCCCCTTTTTTTTAAAGGCAGCAGCAAAACAAAACCTTAAAATCCTTCTGAATGAAAGAAGTTTAAGAAGTGGTGTTGTAAATGAAAATATGCCTTGGTGTTAGTTTGGGCATTCAACAAATATTCACATTGGGCATTCAACAAATATAAATTCAACATGGCACTGATATGTTAATCAAGAAAAAGTCTGAACTTAACACCAAGTGACTCCTTTTTTTCGGGGGTGGGGGTACATCAAGGACTAAGTTTTTGTTCTTTCCATTCCTGCAGGTTTGAATGATCTTAAACAGTATATCACAACAACTGTTGTGACTCTTGTGATGGATATGCTGTGGTGTATTTGGGAAGAATTTGACTGTCATTTTGAAATCTGTCATGTTACATAAGGGTCACATGTAAAGTATTTGTAAACTAGCCATGTTCAGGAGCCTATTTTTTTAGTCTTGCAAATATTTTAGAGATGCTATTAAAACTCTTGTTTTCTTAAACTTTTCAAATGTATGTTTACTGTTCTTTTCATTTCATTAATGTTTAGACTTACATACTTGATGAATTTATTGAAAGTGAGACAAGCATACTGACTTTGATAATTGGCAAAACCGTTTAATGTTAATCTCATTAAAAAAAATTGGTGTGCTTTGATAGCTAAAGGAGTCTGTTCTTCTGGAGCAAAATTTATCCTACAGATGCAGCTAACTTTTTTTTTTTTTTTTAATAATTGAATCATTATACAGTACCAAGTGTGTAATCCGGACGTCCATTATCCAGAATGATCTATAATCCGGACCTCAAAACCACAAACTTGTTTTTGTATGCTTTACGCATGCGGGTTTAATGTTACGTAAGCACATTTAATATTTACGCATGCGCATTTAGCACTAAAAACGAACCAATTTAAACAACTTATATTGAAAGAAATGTTTAATAAAGTAAACAAATAAAATATTAAGCTTTTTTTTTTTTTTTTTTTTGTAAATTTTGATACCCTTTAGATCATAATTGCTCTTTATTTCATAAATTATGGTTTCATATTTTTAATTGTATAATTTTTGCATGCCATCTTACCAGATTTAAATTGATATATAATCTGGAAAAACCCTTAATCCAGAATCGCCGAAGTCCCGATGAGTCCGGATTATGAACTTTGTACTGTAGTAGTTAATTTATAAGCTGAACATAATTGGCATACATATAGCTCCAATGTATTAAAATTAGTGGAGTATTTCTGTGCAGTATTATTGCAAATGAAAATTGAAATTGAATTATCCATAAAATATTTAACTCCTTGTTAAATATTTTTCTTAGTACATGTATATATGACTAGTCTAATGATCCCCTCTGGGGAGGGAGACGCAGAGAATTTTGTGAAGTACTTGCTGGAATCTATACTTAGGCAGTCTCGGCCATGGAGGTGTAAAATCTTGAGCTCGGTGGTTATATGTGCCTAGCTGGGAGATACCTTGAGATGAAACTTCATTAGCCCAGTCGGGTAGGTTATACCACATATACTATGTGGATTGCCTGTTTTGGAGAACTAGGCATCCACATAGTACTGGTAGGAGCATTTTTGATGGCCAGTCAGATCTCTAGCCATGCATGCTCCCCACTGCTGTGAAACCTGGGAACCAGGAGTGGTGACCCCATGCAACCAGGAGGTAGCAATTGTTATAGAGAAACATTTAAAGTCTGCCACCTCAGGTTGGGGTCCCAAGGTGGTAGCATGATTAGTGTACATTTAACCTCTTGGTGGACTGAATGATTTAAGAGGATTGTAGTGTAATTTGTAATTATGTTATTACTATATAATTTTCTGGTGACCCACCCCCTGCCTGATATGGGAGCCTTTCAGTTGGGACCAGTCGGGGTAGAGTCAAATAGACAGAGCATGAAAGACAAATATTATTATTGCTTAATGCAAAATGTTATTGCATTATATTGATATTTGTTGCATTAATATTTTGTTGTTTGCTTTATGTTAATAATTTATTATGAGATTTTCAGTTACCAGGATCATCCTCCAGTAGTGCTAGTGGTAAGATGGAAAAATGCCACACATTATTGAAAAGAGTTCAAGCAATTAGGCTGAAGCAGAGAGCAGAGAAGGTACTGTAAAATTTTACTTTTCTGTTATTAGTTTATCCAGTAGAACTCAGATTGATCAGAATTCAGATAGTTGAAACTAATTAACTAGTTTGCTTATTCTTTTAATTCTAAGTTAGTATTCTTAATGCTAAAGCCGCTACTGTGTGATGTGATACAGTAGTGCCATTCTAAAATTTTATGGTGTTGCTGGTAAGAATTTTAAAAAGTTGTAGCCTGTAAATTTCAGGTTACAACTTGATCAGTTTTTTTTTTTTTTTTTTCCCTTAAAATGTTAAACAGTTTAAAAATTTTTTATTAGAAAAAAAATAACAGCATTAAAAAAACTGCAATCTGCTCTTGGTATGCAGATTTCAGTTTAGCATCTGAAACAACTTTAAGCTAAACTGTTTTATAGACCAACTGGTTTAGGAATTATCTCCCATAAATTAAAGATACATAATATAAAATCTTGTACTTAAATCATCTATTTAAAATTATAAAGCCAAAAGGTTTAACAATAAAAATCAGTTGTTTTGTTTTATTTCATTATAAATTAACAACACATGAGATTTATGCTCATATTTAATAAAAAATAGATTTATTTATCAAGACAGTGCATTTATTTCAACTGATTGCTTGCAACATAAGTATATTTTGCTAATTTTTCCTCCATGTTGTCAATGAGTTGACTAGAAGTTGGCCAAAATGATGAAAATATCAGTTCTTTTGTTTTTTTACCACTCTTTAGTTCTTTTATTTTTTACCACTCTTTGTCGTATAATTGAGCAGCTATATCTGGCCTTTTAATCAAAATATAACTGTTCTCATCAAAAAAATCTTATTGAGAATTTTACTGCTAAAAGTAGTGTTGTGTGCAAGATCAAGTTTCCATGATGTTGCAGTTGTTATATAATGGGACTCATAAAAAGAATTATGTGACATGAACTGCCAACACCCCAGAAAATTGAGAACAGTCTTCTAGATACCAATTACCTCTTTTATCTCTTTGATAAAAGAAGAGAATTCAGTTTTCCAACAATTAAACTTATAAACTGGAATACAATCATATCTAAAAACGTTATTGCAAATACAATTTTTAATCAAATTGCTAGAATTAAAAAAGTATGCACCAAAATTGAACTGCAACAGAAAGAGATACTTCTTTTTACTAAAAGTTTACAAGAAAATTAAAGTCCAATTAATTTCATTTACAGTCTACTAAAAAAAGCTGGAGTGGTCTGCACCCTTTAAAATTTTTTAAGGTAATGAATTTTTTATCTGAAAGCTCAAATTAGAGAAGAATGATTTAAGAGGATTGTAGTGTAATTTGTAATTATGTTATTACTATATAATTTTCTTGGCTATACTTTTATTAACTAAGGACCTACTCTATTTTAAGTTGCCATGATAAATTCATTGTGTGTAAGTTGTACCCTTATCTAACATTTGTCCTTATTTCCTTTTCTCAGTTGCATTACTTCAATGCTTTCCAAATTTTAAATTTAAAAAATATTTACTGTTAATTCATCTTTTGGTTGGTTTAAACTTCCCATTGCCAATTTATATTGCCAGTAGCACCAAACATGGAACCATTAACATCACTTTTTTCCTTTTTAATTACTGTCTTTTATTCTTTTGTTCTTCCAACAGTAAGTTCCAACTTTTCTTAATTTGATAAAAAAAATTGTTCTCGGTTAATAATTCTTTTTGTAACTATAATTTAAGTTCTTTTGCTATATTTTGTAAATTATTATGTTTTAATTTGAATTTTAATATTAGTAAATTGTGCATATATTTATTACTTTTGCTTTATTAAGCAAATTGAATTTATTTCATTTAAATTTGTTTTTGTGTATTTTTATTTCATATAAAAAGAAAGCTGCTGTGTTGAGGAGACATTCAGGATTTTCTGATGAACTGTTATAATTAAATAATTTAAAATGTTCATCAGCTAATTTTTGATGAACTGAAGCTCAGTGATTTTCCTAGGAAGTGGAGTTCAATTGAATCTGATCTACATCCTTTTGATAACATTGAATCAGATTTTAATTGTATTCCTTTTCTTTTTAGTTACACTTTTATGTATTTTTGTTGTTTTCAGGATTTCTTTTGATTTTAAAACACTGAGTTGTTAAGGTTTTCTTACATTTTTTACTGGTAGATTTGGGGATTATACTGGTTTTAAATTTTATTTATGTCATATCTTTGTGGTTTTAGTCGAATAGAAGAAGCTTGCACTTGTGTCCAACTTGAACATCCCTGTTATTTTAGTTGTCCAAACTTTTCTATAAGCCAATGCAAAATAAACTGTCTGCAATAAGCAGATCTGTCCCCCCCCTTTTTTTAAGGCAGCAGCATCAGAAGTGAAGCAGAAAGTAAAATTTCCCTCTCATTGTCTATTAAAAATTTTTGTATTGGTTAGTTGACTTTCAGTATGCAATATGTAAAGGATGGAAAGGAGAAATATCTAAATTAAATTATGCTGTTAAGTGTCTATTGACAATTGAAATTAAAAGTTTGTTTCATGCATTTTTTATCTTATATATCTCCTTCCAGGCTTGGCATCAAAAAAACCTTTTTTGGAAAGAAAGCATTAAAGCGGTAGAAAATGAAAAGAAATATGATTTGAAAGAGAACTTGTGAAATTTAAAGTCATTACAATTTGAACATAAATTTTGAGCTCTATCTTTGGAAACAAGCAAAATTTTAAGCCTTATCGATAAAGATATACTTAATCCAGGCATATTGCAAGCTTCTTCTTCTTCTGTGTATGCTTCAATATCTGTGCCATCAATACCATTCCGATTTATTATATATACATGTAATATATGTTGCAGTTTTTTTGTTTTAGGCAGGAAATGGATTATTTTTGCCTTAAATGAAGTTGAAATATTTTTCCCCCCTTCAATGCATATATTTCTATTTAATATAATAAGACTTTAAATAGTGGAAAGCTGCTTCTTAAGATCTTTAATCTGCCATTTTATGAGTGATAATAATTTATGTAGCTGTTGCATATGTTATTATAGCTTATTTTGAACCCAGTTTCCAACATTCATTTTTACAATTTATGTGTATTGCACTTTTGTAAAATGCCATCTTTTTAGAAAATGTATTTTCAAATATTTGGCAATATGCTGTAATCTTGGGAAAACTGGATGACTTTTGTCTCATTATTGGATAAATCCCAGAGAGCCATAGTTATTCAAGAAATGTGGTAAATATGGCATTGAGTGTGACTTGCACAACCTAAAATATTTTATTAAAATTCAATAAGGAATAAAAGCACATGCAAACAATAGTTACTTCATACATAGGCAATAATGTCTGTCAAGAATAAATATGTGTGGCTGTAAAAAGTGTAGATAAAATATTGCTAAATTATGAAGATAAGTAAATATGTAAATATCTGTGTGATGGAAGATAAGTAAATATGTCAATATCTAACAAAGATTCGAGGAAATGGAAGAATATTCCAACAGCAAATTCTATAAAAGCATCCAGATACTACCAGACTTACAGAAATGTATTACATTAGAAAGGCAAAGCAGGAGAAGTTCAGTATGAAAGAATAGTACGCAACATTAAAGAATGGTAAAATTCACTTCTTCTGATATGCTTTTTATAATTAGTTTTAAATCTTTGTAGACACTATATTTACATAGTTGTTAGACTTTTTACTTATCTGAAAGCCAAAAAAAGAATCTTTATATAACTTGACTCAGATAAATATTAACAAAATTCTATTTGTTGTTATTACTGCTTCTTGTGAATTTTTAATTGATGGTAGCAGGGTTCGTATGGTCCTTAAGAGTCCTTAAGCTTTTTGGAATCGATTTTTGGTCGTTAAAAGCCTTAATTTCGGCCAAAATCAGCAGAAGGTCCTTAATTTTAATAATCTGAAATTTCTGTCTGTTTTTACGACTGCCATTCTAAGTGTGAATTAGCATTTTGCAGCAATATTGGCGATTCACTGACAAAATATGGTTATTTTTTGAATGGGTTCATGGATTATAATTTGTTCCTATTTGTAATATAACTGGTGGGATACTCGAGTTTCTGAGCAAGAAGTGAAACATAAGAGTTTTGAAATTATTTCATTTTTTGTAATGAAGAGCTCTCAAACAACTTTCCACTTTTGTGGATGTGAATTCTTTTATTAAATGGTTCTAAATTTGGTGACTTATCAACATTTTGGCAATTTTAAGATCGGTTTCTATGGAAAATTTTTAATTCCGAACTCTGGGAAATTTTTGGCGACTTTTTTAGAACATTGTAACACTGAAAAATTTCATTAAAATAATGGCAATGTATTGGAATTATATTTAAGAAATAACATTAAAATAAAGCATTTTTATTTTTCACTGTCATATTATAAAGTTCCATTTTGGCCACATATTATACAATGTTTTGAATCTGAAAAATAAGCAAGGTATAATTACGGTGACCAGACGTTCTTTGTTTCAGAGGACAGTCCTTTATTTGAAGGCTCTGTCCTCTAACTTTATTTATTTCCTGAAATAAGCATATTGTCCTTTATTTTGAGAAATCATCGCAAAATCAAATTTCTCAAATTGGTTTACTGCAACTCTAGATCGGAGCACCCGCAACGTATTTTCTAAATGCCAGCCGAGCCGTACGCTGACAAATACGCAGTCGGGCCGGAGCAATGCTTGCTTCTCGCGTTAGTACCACCACCACATAACTAGGGACTGCTTAGTTTCTTTAATCTTTGTGTTCATTCTCCTTCTATGGTTTGTGCGCGCGGCACGTCCTTCGTTCAATGTTACCCAAATATTGTATTTTACAGCTTTTAGTTTACTCAACGGTAATCAATTTATGACTTACCCTGGTCCTAGCTCCTAGGTAAGTTTGCTTTGTATTTTCAGTTTTGATATTTCGGTATTATCTAACTAAATTTTATAGAAATCTTGACTTTTACCATTCATGGCGCCTAAAAGAAAGTGCACTTTCAACCAAGCATTGCAGGAAGAATTTCCTTTCATAAAAAAGGAAAATCG